GATCCGTTGTCGGCTCATGACAGTACAGTCCACCACCACTATCCCCGGAGCATGTATCCTGAAGTTGTTTTGTATTACAGAAGAGAGCGGAACGAAATTGTTTGATTGCGTATCACAGCCACAATCACAAAAAGATGCCTCTCTTAAGTGGTTCGATATAAGCGAATGAAAAGCGACTATATGTTGTACTGTTTTCTGTGCTAATCAAAACGTACTGGTAGGGAAACACTAATAACTCAAGAGCAACCTGTCGCTAAACGAAATGGGCTGGGGGACCTTCGATTCGACAATAGCGATTTTGTTTGTGTTCAAAGTATGAGGACAATTATGAAGACAATGATGCTGTTCTGCTTACAATCACATATCCATCCATACGTTAAAAACTACTGGTTTCTAAGATATATCACTACACATGATCGGATGAACTGGAATATAGTTTTGCTAGCTGATGTGCCCGCTGGTTGAAAGATTTTATGGCATGTGAAAATGAGAAATCAAACGCAACAATACCTCTCAAGAGATACCCATATCAGTTCGTCCTTGAACGATTAAAGACCTAGTTCATGAAAGGCTTCATATCCGAGTTAATGGGTGACATCCGAAGCTGCCGAACTAACTAAACTTACTGACCACCTCTGAGTATCTTGGTAGCCGTTGTCAGTCTCGGTGTGAACTTTTCAGTCTAATGATCTAGAGTATAGCTCTTGGATTTCATCACAGAAAAGGTCAAACAAAAGTAAAAACCCAGGTATAATGATTCTCGACTGTTGGTTTGACTAGGTTACCCGGCGATGGAATGTGGGGTCTGATTACAGATTAACTATCATGGGTCGTAACAATTCTTATAATGCTTCCTTTGCCTGTCTTTCTGTATGTCTTTTTGTTCCATAGGTCTTGTCATCAGTTCAGTTTCCCCCAGTCCACACTTCTTATTTACGTGAACAGCAGTTCCCATTAAAAATCATTATGATCACAGAAGAAAACCTGCTTTATTTAGAATGAAGCACATTTGAAGTGATATTCTTTAAAGTTTCACACCCGTTAATAAGATGAAATTATATTGATTAAAGTTACTTCAGAGCACCTTGGCCATCTTATTTTGAATTTGTTTAACGTGTAGGAATTAATAACTCTAAAATGCCCTGGAAAAAACTATATGCAACAACAATCACTTAGACATGATTTATTTTCCGTTTGCTGGTTTGTGTCCGAGGTACGAGAATGGTGAGACCAGCCTCAGATGTATATAGGGAACAACTCAACAACGGAAACCACTGATCAACCCACCTTGCCTTTCGAACCAGCACAAATGTGCAATTCACTGTTCACATCACCATAGTGCTTACGACACTCGTCCACAGAGACAATTGGCAGGGTGACTTCGTGCAATTCATACGGAGTGCTGGGACGACGATCTCGTCGGGATCGACGATCACGGTAGCCCCGAAAACCAAATAAATTCCCGAACGGGCTGTTGAAAAGGCTGGGGAACGGGAGAAGGATTGAATCGAACAAGCCTTGCAAGTTGTCAAATGTCGGTGGCTTCCCAGATCGAGTATTGCCCCAACCCAGAGCGTAACACTTGGTACCTGGCTCCAGTGTCATATCTTTCGGAGGCAGACAAACGAAGTTCACTGCAGAATCTGTATGTGATTTGGGGACAAATGAGCGTAGAAAACCGAATTTCCAGAGTACCGTAACTAGTAAGATGAATACTTGATTATATACTCATAAACCTTATAGAGGAAAATTCCTACCATTGAAGACTCGGTTAAAGGTGTCACAAGACGTTTGGGCTGTGCTACACTTGCGCCAAAAATGAACAAAAGAACCCGAGAGCAGATTTGGTTCATAAACGTATTTCAAACAATACACCTTGTACTGTGCGAAACGGAATACAAGTCATGGTATTTGAGCAGACGCATCGAATCTTGTTGAACTGAATCCACACAAACGTGAGAGGAATAAAAATTCCGCTATTCGTCTGTTCTCTAGATTACTTTAATAAACTCCGACGTTAGCATTAAGCAACGAGAAAGTTTCAGGAAAAATAAGATGATGTTGATGACTCGGATAATGATGATGATGGTGATGATGATGACGATGATTTACTCGTATGATTTCGATGAAGGAGACTCGTGGTTATAGCTGCAGTANTAATGATATAGATAGTCTAGTCATCGTCTTATGGAATAGACGACAGTATCACCACTTTGAGCAAGCTAAATTTCGATAATGATTGCGTTCCGTGGACAGTTCAGGACTCGGGGGTGCAAAATTAAACGTTGGTTGTGGGATCCGGGTAACCAGCACTGTGTCAATGACCATCAATGGACTCCTTCTGCCATTGCGTTCTGCAGCCTCTGCATATGCTACATATTTGTTTGCTTGTAACCATTTGGAAGGTAACGTGGACCCCACTGTCTTCATTATGCAGCTGAGCCTTTTACGCATAGGAGTACAGATGCATGTATCTCCTACTTATCACTCTCCACCCCCATACACTTGATGTTTCACCACAATTGTTCACCTGAGAGTTAGACTATTGAAATTTGTCCCTCGACTAATTATACCTACATAATCTACCGTGCGCAACAGAAACGATGGATTTAGCCTGCGCGTATCAAAATACAATTTAATCTCCTCAGAAACGTCCATTACAGTGAGAGAACTAAACGATTCTCGTGAGTGATTGGGTTTGGTTTTTGAGAGTAGTGCGTCCCCATCATAATACCGATGAGATATCCGAGACGAAATTTATTTTCCCTTTGTTCACCGAGCTTGACAATTTGTTTGTAAACGTTTCATTATCACTCAAGGTGACACCTTCTGTACTTGTGGAGTAGCCACGTGATGCTGCTGCTGATGCGCAAAGCTGTATTTCCACTCATTCATGCGTTCACCCGGACCCGGTTGCCCTACAATTAGTACGTGACTCTGCAACTGGGCTGCAGGTACCATTTTCTGTTGCATCCCCAAGAAACTTGATGAGTCACTCCGTGAAGTATGGATTTATTCGTATTTCGGAGAAAATTGTCATTAGGCCGATAAGTAAGCCATTAAGTGAACGGGAATATCCATTTGATAATCAGGTACTGCCTCCTCAGGGGGATCAGCTACACTTATTTCTGAGGGACAGATTGGGACCTCTAATGCCTTTCGTGTTCTATAACTGTTTTTCTTTGATCAGTTCAGAATACCAGAAAAGCATCCTCGCTCTTGTCACAGTGTGTACCGTCAGATAAACATTCTATGTGTGCGTGTACGTGAGAGAGTGCTTACTAATGGTCACTGGTTCACTCAGATGTAACAGTGCAATATCATCACCGTCAGTCATGAGACTTCGGTGATATCGCGGGTGCAAGATGGCCACATCCACGCGATAGTCTTGTTGTTGCTTCTCCTTCCGCTTCTTGTGATGATCACCCAAATGTGCGAATATCACAGATTTCATGTGTTCGGCCAATTTGACCGGTTTACCGACTGGCATACGTTTGGTCTCGACCAGCAAGCAATGCGCCGCGGTCAAAATCCATTGGGGTGCGATCAGTGTGCCACCGCAAAAAGTGATCGGTTTACCACCCGGCGGTTTGACGGACAAGCGAACCTGTGCCCGGGGCATTCGGTCACCAAACACGAATAGAGGGAAAGTAGAGTAATGCAATGGGCGAAGAGAGGGGAGTGAGTGGATAGAATCAATGAAACGTGAGAGCTTTATATTTGGGCCGATGATCTTATTGGACAAATAATAAAAATGGGAACCATTTGAATAGAAAAACAATGTTTGATCCTCAAATTGGACCTTAGACGTGTTTGTCTGGTGAAGTGACTTGTGGTGCCAAGGTTACATCATCACTTACCTCAGTGTGTGTGTGCGTTGATTTAAAAAATATTCGAAGAATTAAGTCGTTACGGAACGTCAACTCCCGTCATCGAAAAGAGAAAATAAAACTATTGGGTTAGATGACGTGAGATCTCTTCGAGTCAACTAAATTTCAGCACAGACGCTCTGGTATAAGTTCTCATTACATCCAATCAGTGAGTAAAACCTGAGCTTTTCTTCAGCAGAATTATCAACCCAAAACTAGGTGAAATTCCATCTTTCCTCTTGATCACAATTACCTCTTCATGATAAACACCAGGTGTTTTTCAAAATATTCTCAACCGCGGTGCTGTTTCATGTAATTAGGTAATGATCCAATCGAATTCCAAAATGAATGAATGAGTGACCTTGATTTTCGTTGGCTGATTGGTTTGTCGACCCGTAGCCTGTTCCAACAACCGTAGATCACAATTGGTAGCAGCCAGGTTGGTTGCAAAATTTGCTTACATGTACCTGTTTTCAGTCGTATATTGGATTTAACGGAACTCAGTCAAAAATTTCATGAACGTCAGAAGACATATGTGGGCAGAATTGATATTGGCCATCAATTTCGCGTGCTCTCATTCAGCTGTAAACGCACATTGATATGATCATGTGGAACGAAGATGCATAAGGGTTGAAATGAGCCATTTGAACAAGAGTAAGTCAAGGAATGGAAGTTTCCATTCCGATTCACATTCTAATGTCAGTTTGATGTTGGGATGCAATGAGTTCAACTTGTGAAATAATGCATCTTCGTTTCACATGATCATATCAATGTGCGTTTACAGCTGAATGAGAGCACGCAAAATTGAAGGCCAATATCAATTCTGCCCACATATGTCTTCTGATGTTGATGAAATGGATAAAGGGAAAAGGATGTTTTACATCAGTCAAAAATATTGTTTGTGGAAGTAGAATGATCACCGTTCTTCATTTATTACCAGACAGGATTTTGATCACATTCTGTTGAACTATATCTCGTTCCAGATATTGTGTACTAAACGTTTTTAGCGTAAATCTGTTTTCGTCTTCTTATTTTTGTAAGTACCCACAAGTAGATTCGGGAAATTCGGTGTTCTTATATCTTGCCTAATTACCATATACATATAAAATACTGATTGGCATTTTTGCCTTGGGAAAATGGATTTTATTTTGGATGGTTTGTCTGAACGATATGAAATGCATTAGCGCAGCCGCCACTGTGATCGAA